AAGCGCGCGCGCCATTGGGCGCGCCAGCACGCGCGCGCTTCGACATGCGTGCATATGCGCGCGCGCCCTCGCGCACGCCGAACATGCGGGCACCAACCATGCGCGTATTCAGCATGCAGACGGCGCCCGCCCGCGAGCGCGTGCGCGGGCGCGCCCGCGCTTGCAAGGGCCCGCATCTACGACGCAAGCGACGTCCGAATCGACAGACGCAGACGCGCGCGCGCCCACGTACATAGAAGCGTGCGCGCTTTCACTCGCACGCGCACGCGCGCATGCGCGCTTTCGCGCGCGTTCAAGATGCAGACGCGCGTGTGCAAGCGCACGCCTGCATGTGCCAGTGCCGCCCGCAGCGCGCAGGGGCGCGCCTGCATGCCGACGCTGCTCTGCTCAACGTGCGATGTGCCTCTAGATGTGCCCCATTCTGCCTAGTCGAGTCTCGCGTCTCATAGATGTTGCGTTTGCGCTGTTCCTTGCTCTTACCCGTAGCCATGCTACTACATGAGACAGAGCCAAACTGCGATGCCCCTCCTGGTCTCGTGCAGAAATGCTTGGGGACGGCGCTTGTTCTTGAGGCTGCGGAACAAAGAAGCGTTCAACATCGTTTCAGGTTGCCGTTGCAAGAATCGCGGGGCGGTCGCGGTCTGAGCGAATTCCGATGAGCGCCTTGCGAACGCGCGAGCGTGGGGAGTAGTTGCGATGGCGCGCGCATCTGGATTTGAAAAGCGACGCGCCCAATTAAAAACGCGACGTGGCCTCATTCGTCCGTTCAACGTATTCCGATGGGCCCTGTCTTGCAGCCCAGCCGCTGCAACCATTCTCGAGCTACTAAAATAGCGCGAGCTACCCCCTATACACGAGCCAGCTTCTTGGTGTCATGACAGGCGTCTTGGAAGGCATCTGGAGCCATCGGATCGCGTTCCGAAGCCGCCTGCGAACGATCTTGGACGGCGTCCGGCGGTCCGACGAGCCTCCGGGCCCCCCGGAGCCCACATTTGTGGTCGGGGTCCCGGCCCCGGGCCCCCGGACCCGGTGCGCCGTTATATGTATAAACGCGCGCGGTGCGCCAAACTGAAGGGACCCTGGGACACACAAATAAATACACACAAATGAACATATTCCCCATATTTTCCTACATTTTCTTGGTGTTTGTCTTCCCCACCACTTCCCATATTTCCCCATATTTTCCTGGGGATCGACGATTGATTGTCTGTGTGTTTTTTCCCCTCCTGACAAACGCTTATGCTTGTGCCGCGGTCTCTTCTTCGCCTCTGGGCGGCGAGCGAGGGGGAGGTGAGAGGGAGAGAAGAAGGCCTTACCACCAGAAGACGGCGGGACTCGACCACCGCGCCTTCTGAGAAGTGTCCCCGCGGCTGCGGAGAAGGCCCGGAGAACGCCTCGGAATGCCAGGGGGGGCTTCCGACCCTGCGCGGATGGCCTCCTCCTCCTCACCTGCCTCCCTCGCTCGCCGCCGAGAATCGAGGGAGGCTCGAGGCCGAGGATCGAAGGGGGGATCAGAGCCGAGGAGGAGGAGGAGGAGGAGCAGGATGGGGATTACGGGGGGCGCGGGGATTCTGGTGGAGGAGGAATCGCAGACCCTCTCGCGTCGTGAAAACATCACGACGGGAGGTTTTCTCTACTTTCAGCCGCCTGGGACCCCTGCAGGGCCCCGGGACCGTCCAAACACGACTCGGGACGATAAACCGGTCCTGGGGAGGGGGTCCAGGCCTCTGTGGTCGACGTTGTGAAAATTCAAGACGTCGGGGGTCTGGGACGAGGAGAATATCCCGTCACTCAGTGTTCTACTGCCCTCGGTAAGGCCGCGACACTTTCTCGCCTGGGCACCTGTACGTTGGCCCGCCAGCATCAGCCCTTGTACAGGGCGATAGTGTCATCGGTGAGGGCCCTCGTTGGGGAGGGACCTCGGTGGAGGAGTGAGCAGGGTGAGACGCAGTCGTGTGGACATATCCCCGAGCAGCTGGGCGTAACATTCAGTTTGTCCTCCATGGACCCGTCGCCGACGTAAACGTCCACGTTTGGAGCCACGACACCAAGTCAATTTCTGATGGTGATGAGGTTGCTTTCTTAGAAACCAGCGGGCATGGTCCAGGCCGTTTGACACGAGCTACCCGTGGAATTGATTGCCCAGGCACGTCCCTGGAAGAGGTCGACGAAGGCGAGGAGGGCGACGAGGGGGGAGGAGAGAGAAAAGCGAGGAGGAGGAGGAGAAGGAGGACGGCGGGCGAGGAGGGAGGCGGGCGAGGAGGAGAGCGAGGAGGCGGGCAAGGAGGGTGGGCAGCCGAGGCCGCCCCGAGGGGAAGGCTGGCGGCCTCGCCGCTGCCCAGGGCGCGCGCCACCCAGACGGACGCCACCGCCGCCACGACCTGGGGAAGAGGGGGGGCGCATTCGGGGGAGGGGAGGGGAGGGAGGAGGAGCGAGGGGGGCGCGAGGAGGGGGCGCGAGGAGGAGGGAGTGGGGAGAAAAGGTGCGGGATGTGTACGGGGAGGAGGGGACAGGGGTGGGAGGAGGAGGAGGAGAAGGAGGAGGAGGAGGAGGAGGAGGAGAAGGAGGGAATGGCATTCAGCGGCGTGACATGAAACATGGGCCAGGGCATAGTGCAGCCTGGTCCGAAGAGGACGAATCTCAAACGGGCCGATGCCTCGCTGGACCACAGCAGAAGGAGGGGGAGGGAGGATGAAGGATGAGAGAGGACGGAGGCGGGGCTGAGGCAAAGAAGGCAGGGAGGAGGAGGAGGAGGAGGAGGAGGAGGAGGAGAGGAGGAGGAGGAACGGGGGGGGAGGCGAGGAGAAAGAACTACAGGGACAGAGATGAGGGAGGGGCGATAAGGGATGGGTGGTAAAGGCGAGGCGCGGACGAGGAGGGGGTGGAAGAGGCAAGTAGAAATGAGAGTAGAGAGAGGTGGGAGGTGGGAGAGAGGACGCCTTGCTCTCGTTACAAGGAAAAAAAAACAGGGGCAGCAAACTCCGTGCACAATTGATCATGATGGACTCGGGCTATCTCCCTCATCCACATGCTCCTCATCCATCTCTGCCTCCGCCAACTCCTATTGCACATCCCCTTCCTCCCATCGTCCTGCTAATCGCCTCACACAACTACCCCTCCTGCCTCCCGCACACCGCCCCCACCCACGGAGGTCGTCGTGCTACTTGCCCGCCTGGCCTTCGCCCCTGAATGAGCATCGTGGTTCACCCCCCTGCCTCCAGATCTCTCGAGCCAAAGATCCCTCCCCGTCAAACTGTTGCGGAAGGGTGACGACGACGCCGACGCCGCCGCCGCCACCCCTTCCGCGCCCCTGCCCGGGCCACCGAGGGCCGCCGAAGGCCGCCGAAGGCCGCCGAGGGCCGCCAAAGGCCGCCGCGGAGGGCCGACGAGGGCCGCAGAGGGCCGCCGAGGGCGACGGCGGAAGCGGCGGCGGTGGGGGGGCCAGGAGATGCAGGCACCGCGGTTCCCCAAACCTGCTCTGCAAGCGCACTCCTGGCCAAGACCTCGAGGCGAATCTCGTCGTGGCGGCGAGGGGGGGACCGGCGGAATCGGGCTGGGCGGGGGGCTGCCATCGGGGATCAGGGATTCAGGATCCAGGGGGAGCAGGAAGAGGAGGAGGAGAAGGAGCAGGAGCATGAGCATGAGCATGACCATAAGACGAAGTCTTCTGGAGGAGGAGGAGGAGGAGGAGGAGGAGGAGGAGGAGGAGGAGGAGGAGGAGGGGGAGAGGAGGAGAAGGAGGAGGAGGAGGGCTTGTTGTTGGAGAGGAGGAGAAGGAGAGGAGGAGGAGGAGGAGGAGGGCTTGTTGATGGAGAGGAGGAGAAGGAGGAGGAGGAGGAGGAGGGCTTGTTGTTGAGGAGGTGGAGGAGGAGGATCGAGGAGGAAAAGAAGGATCGAACAGGAGGACCAGTGAACCTAAGGCACATCAATGATGTTGGAAACAATCATCCCTCCAAGCTCCCCCTCTTCATAGGCCCCTACAAGGATTCATTTCCGCTTCGGGAAATGCCCCAGCCTGAAGCATGCTAAAACACCATTATCAGGACTCCAACGCCAAGAACCAACCTAACTGTTACGGTGAAGCGATCCTAACAAAATACAATTCTCGGGGGGCCAACACTGCGAATCAATGTAACAACTGCGCCTTGACAATCCTGAACCGCTCAAAAACACCATTTCTGATCCGGGAACCTCACGTGAACCATGCGATTCCGCAAAATTCTTGCAAGTGTTGTAAATGGATGCGCGCGGCGTTGAAGCGAGAGCCACATGTTGGAAACAATAACGCCCTCAGTCCGTAGAAGCCTTGCAGTGTGTCAAAACGAACGCGCACGCCGCTAAGGCGAGAGCTACATGTTGAAAATCACCCACCCTCAACCCATGAAGCTCTTGCAATATGTAAAACAAGTACGCGCGGCGCGAAGGCGAGTGCCACATGTTGAAAGCCACCTTCCACCCTCGATCCGTGAAGCTCTTGCAATTGTTTACAACCAACTTGAGGGGCGCGAAACGAGAACCACATGTGGGAAGCAACCCACCCTCGATCCGTGAAGCGTTTACACTTGTTTTATTAGGGACTTTGCTCGGCGCGAAAGCGAGAGCCGCATCTTGGACACGACCCGCCCTCCGTCCATTTTGACGCGTCCAGATCATAAATGGCGAGGAAGTCTTTAGCGAAACGCCCGGCCCGCCTTTTCGACCGGCCCCAGGGTCCGACAGGGAACATTTGCTGATCAGGAATAGGAGCGGAGGGGCATCGAGTATCGGGACGTGCACGAAGGAGGATCAAGGACGACCCGCAGGATCGTCCCGTGCTCCTCCCACGGGCTTCTTGGCCGTATCGGCGAAAGGAAAATCAGTGAGCTTGGACTCTCGGGGTCATCTTGGGCGGGCGGGTTCTCTAGGGGAAAAAAAAGTTACATAAACAGAAAAACTCGGAGCTCCGCGCGGATTTCTCGGATCGGCGCTGGACCCCCCTCCCTGGCGCGCGGAGCGCGCCAGGGGCGGCGCCGGAGGCGCCACCGGGGATCCCCAGCGCCGATCCGAGAAATCCGCGCGGACCTCCGAGATTTATGCTTATGCCACTTTTTGTTCCCCTATACTCGGGGCCCCCTTGGGGGCCTCTTTCGGCTGCACGTAAAAGTGACCCTGGGTAAGAGTGACCTTTGGTGCGCGGCTTTTGGGGCGCCGCGGGGAGGCCAAATCCAGGCGCGCTTGCCGCTACTACCGCTTCGCGTTCGGCCATCTGGGGGCCCGTCCGCGCCCGCACCAAAGGTCACTCCGGCGAAAGGTCACTCCGGCGAAAGGTCACTCTTGCGTCTAGTCGACTCTTGGGGGCCTCCTGGGCCCTGGAGCGGCGAGCCTGCCGGCCGCCCCGCCCCCGGGAGGGGCGGACCACGCCCAGCAGCACGAGCCGCCGCCACGCCCAACAGCACGCGCCGAGGCTGCACGCCTCCGGGGGGGGGGGGGGGCGCACGCGGGCGCCCGCCACGGCGGAGGGGATGGCGCGGCGGGGCGCGGCGCGCCGCGCGGGGAGGGGGAGGGAGGAGGAGGGAGGGAGGGAGGGAGGGAGGGAGGGGAGGGGAGGGAGGAGGAGGGAGGAGGAGGGAGGAGGAGGGAGGGAGGGAGGGAGGGAGGGCGGGCGGGCGGGCGTGCGAGCAGGAGGGCGGGGAGGAGAGGGGAGGGGGATGGAGGGAGGGCGGGCGGGCGTGCAGGCGGGAGTAGGAGTAGGAGTGGAAGTGGAAGTGGGATCAGAAGCAGCAGTAGGAGTAGGAGTCAAGCTGGCCAGCTCGAGCGAGTCAAGCATGGCATGCCCATTCCCATCCGCCCTCCCAAAACGTAAGGAACACTGCTGGCACAACGGGGGCCGAACGCCCCGCGAGGCTTCAAGAGGCTCCGCGAGGTTTCAGGAGACCCCAAAAAAGCCTCAGCAGGCCATCGGAGGCCACAGCAGGCCACACGAGGCCCCAGGAGGTTTCAGAAGGCCCAGGATGCCCCAGGAAACCCCAATCGGCTTCAGGAGGCTTCAGTTTTTGTTTTTGGCTCCACGCCGCCACCTCCAGATCCCAGCCGAGGCTGGGAACAACTCGAATGCTACGGATGGAGGAGCATCCGAATGTCAGGAGGCTTCAGCATGCCCCAGGAAGCCCGAGGAGGCCCCAGGAGGCATCAGGAAGCCCCAGGAGGCCTCAGGAGCCCCCCAGCGCCCGACGAATTGGCGAGCGAGAAGTGTGCGCCGCGCCTTGGCGGGAACGCCATTTTCAGAGAACATGCTCGCGGCGCCGAAGCGAAACAACATTTCGCCCTTTCGCGCAGGGTGTAAGCCGCGTCCGATTTCTGCCACGCATTTCGCGACGTGGACCACAGGACGTCCATGTTGAGAGGGAAAACGTAGATGTTGTATTGATCTTTCGCAGGTTAGGATGGGACCCTCAGGATTGGCGGTCCACAGGAGGCCACAGAGGGCCTTAAGGAAGCCCCAGAAGGCACCAGGAAACCCCAATAGGCTTCAGGAGGCTGCAATATACCCCAGGAAGCCCCAGGAGGCCCCAGGACGCTCTCGGAAACCCTCAGATGACCTCAGGAGGCCCCAGGAAGCCCAAAGAAGCCCCAGGAGGCCCAAGACGGCCCAACCGGCGCCCAAGACGGCCCAAAAAGGCCCGAAGACGGCCCCAAGAGGAGGCCCAGATGGGGAAACCGAGCGGACATTTCGAGCCCTCAGCCCCGACGGCCCCCCAGGAAGCCCCAAGAGGCCCGGCCCCCAAGAGACCCCAAGATGCTCCCAAGAGGCCCCCAAGAGGACCCCAAGAGGTCCCCAAGAAGACCCAGAAGTGCCCCCATGAGGTCCTATCACCACTTAACCGCGGCCGCCGTGGTCGCCATCGACGTCAACGCTGGCCCCGTCATCATCGATGCCGCGGTCGTCATCGCCGCGGGGCCGGCGCGAGGCCTTGGAGGAGATCGCCGCCGGCTTCGCCGGCTTCGTGGGCTCCTCGCGCGGGGCCGGGTCAGGGAGAGCCGCTGACGAGGACGACGACGACGACGATGGGGGGAGGGCAGGGCGGGGGCGAGGCGGAAACCGAGGAGGAAGGGGGCGGGGGAGGGAGGGAGGGAGCAGGATGGAGGGGAGGGGAAGAGGGGGAGGACCACTCCTGGCTCCCGCGCTCCCCGCCCGTGCGCGGTCGCACACGCACCAAGTGGGCAATAGGTGGACTGGCCGCACGGGGCAAGCGGGGAGGGCGAAGGGGGGCGCAGCGGACCCCGCCCCTCCTCTCTGTGGGAGGGGAGAGGTGGCCGCTTGTGGGGCAGTGCAAAGGGGGGTCACCACTAGGGGGGTCGCCACTTCCTCGAGGAAGCGCCACTTCCTTGAGACTTCCTCGAGGAACTGGGCCCCCCAGAGCCCCGAAAACGCAAAGAAACGTCCAAGAACATCCTCGACTCCTCGACTCTCCATCCTGGAATCTCGATTTCCAGGAGAAGCTGGCGACCCCCCCAGTGGTGACCCCCCTTGGCACTGCCTGAGCTTGCTCCTCTCCTGGGCAGCGGCCGCTGCCCGGGGGGGGGGCTTCGGGGCGGGAGGGGGCGGCGGCCGCGGCGCGCACCCGCCAGGGTGCGCCCGCGCCACTGGCGCATCCATCGCCCTGTGCGCCCCCAGCATGTGAGAGGGGGGGATTCCAGGCCCCAGCCCCCGCAACACGATCGCTGGCGTTGCCCAGGGGGGGGGGGGGAGGTTGGCCCGGGTCACGGGCGGCACCCTGGGGAGGGGCAAACACGATCACGAGGCGAGGAGGACAATGAGGAGGAGGCAGGTGGCAGGATATGACGCGAGATGGACTGGCGCATGGGAGAGGTGGGGAGGGGGAGGAGGGTGCAGCGGAGGAAGGGGAGGATGGGGAGAGTGGAGGCGAGGAGGAGGCAGGGAAGGCGAGGAGGCCAGGGGAGGGCAGGGAGGGGGACGGCCCGTGCCTCCTCTCTGGGAGGGGGGGGGGGAAGGCGAGGAGGAGCACCGAGGAGGAGGCAGGCGGCAGGACGACGAGGAGGCGGGAGGTGTTCGCCCCCGCCACGGGGCCCCTCTGCCCCTCGACGCGCCCCCCCCCCCGGCGCCCCCTGCCTGGAAGGGGGCCACGGGCAGTGGACAGAGGTCAGGGGGGCAACTCCCCAGAGGTCTTCGTCAGAGCGACCAGGGGCAATCGGATAGACAGGCGCGTTCCACCACTCGCGGAGGTAGCTGCTCGTTCCACCACTCGCGAGGGTGAGGGGGGTTACTCCCCAGAGGTCTTCGTCAGAACGACCAGGGGCAATCGGATAGACAAGCGCGTTCCACTACTCGCGAAGGTAGCTACTCGCAAGTGGGCAGGATCCGCCATGGGGGGTTTGCGACACGTTACATCGATGCAGACATGTGTTGTTCGGACGTTTGCGAGTGGGCACTTTGGCAGTGGAGCGCGCTCGGGGCCATAAAGCCCCATTCACGAAGCCATTAAGCCAGACTTGTCTGCAATCTCCCAGGATTGTAAGCCAGATCGGCGGGGCCCGATCTGGCGGGATGGTGCCCGATCAGGTATACCAGCGCCGATGCCGAATTTAACCTCTGAGGAGTGGCACCCGAGCAGAGACTCCCCCGATGGTCGCCCGTGACGTCCTCGGAGAACGACCCGACCTCCAAAACCGTGCCGTGACCCCGAATATCCACTGACTCACCACGCAGCGTGGTCACCACACCGTTCGGAAGCCCCGGGGGACCGTTCGGCGGCGAGCGAGGGGGGGAAGTGAGAAGGAGAAGGCTTTTTCAAAAAGGCGGCAGGGCTTCTCGGAAGGCCTCCAGCGTTCTGAGAGTCTTTTTGTGTCTTCGGGGAAGGCTGGGGGACTTCCGAGCCTTCCCTTCCCCCCTCGCTCGCCGCCGAGTTTGGAAGCCCCGGATGATCTTCCGGGGGAGGGACCCTGTGGGGCTGGGTGTGGGGAGGGGGCCATGTCGATCCCGAGGGCCAAGCCTTGGGAGTCGGGTGGAGCCCCGAGGGCGAAGGACGATAGAGGAGGGAGAGGTTCATCTTGAGCAGGGACCGACCGTCCCGGCATTCCTATAGTCCTACCACGACATGTTCGTAGAATCCAGAAATGTTCTAAGAACACAAACAATGTTCTTGGAACATGAACCCCATGTGTTAATACAAGACACTCTCCGCCAGAAATGTTCTAAGAACATTTCGTGGACACCACAAAAGGTTCTTAGAACATTGTTCGATAGGGCTATAGGCGAGCCAGGACGCTTCGCCACTGCTTGATCATCCACTTGGGAGGGGGGCCCCCGCCCCCCGGGCCCCGCCACCGCACCGTGGGGCCGCAGCGAACGACGCCGCACCGCACCGGCGGAGCGCAGGCCGTGCCGGAAGCGCGGCAGCGACGACGGCGGCGGCGGCCTCGGCGCCGAGGACGACGACGACGACGGCGAAGAGGAGGACGACGACGACGACGACGACGACGACGACGACGACGACGACGACGACGACGACGACGACGACGACGACGACGGCGGCGGCGGCGGCGGCGGCGGCGGCGGTGGCGAAGGGCGGCGACGACCTCGGCGGCGCCGGCGCCGGCGCCAGCGCCCAGCAGCGGCGTCGGCGGCCACCGCGACGACGCCGACGCGGCAGCGGGGGCTGGCCTCCCAGCCGGGCGCCTCCGTCGCGGGGGCGGCGGCCGCCGCCTCGCGCGGGGCGAGCGGGCGCGGGGGCGGGAAGCGCCCTCGGGGGGGGAGGCGGAGGGGGGGGGGGCGGAGGTGGGGTGGGGGGGGGGGGGCGGATCCGCCCCCCTTCCTCTCGAGGGGGGGGGGGGGGAGGGGAAGGGGGGAGGGGGGCCCTCCGAGGGCCCCCCCCCCTCTCGAGAGGGGGGGGGGGCCTCGGAGGGGGGGGGCGGGGGCGGAGAGGGGGGGGGCCGTGGGGCAGGGGGGGGGGGCGGGGGCGCCCTCGGGGGGGGGGGGGGGGGGGGGCAGGGCAGGGCCACCGCCGGGAAGCCGAGCGGGAGCAGGCTGGACCGGGCGGGGTGAAGCCAGACTCCCGGCCAGGGCAGGGTCAGAACTCGACCTCCCAGGAGCTGCATCCGAAGGGAATGAAGGATACAAGGATGGGGGGAGGAGGAGCCGTCGTAGGGCTGGGGAGGGGGCAGGAATGGATGAATATCAGGGTAGAGCGGGGAGGGAGGGAGGGGAGGGAGGGGGAGAACGAGGCAAGGAAGGAGGGAGGGAGAGAGGAGGAATGCGGAGGAAGAGGATGCTGCAACAAGCGTTGGTGTCGCGTTTCTGGGAAGACAAGTTCTAATGGGGCCTGCCCAGCAGGCGGGCCCTCGGTTTGGAAATGGAACTGCCCTGCACAATGGTTCGACCTGTAGGATATTTGATGTACTTAGCCCGCGTGGGCCCCAAACTGTGTGCTTCTATGTCTCGCAACATATGCTGTGCAACCTAGGCTGTGCAACCTATGTTGTGCAACCTATGTGGTGCAGTGGTGCAGTCAGTGTTGTGCGGTCTGTTGCTTGCACACTAGATGTTGTGCCATCTGTGCTGTGCACTCTGTTGTGCAATTCATGCTGCACAATCTATGTTGTGCAACCTGTTGTGTGCAATGTATGTTGTGCAATTTGTTGTGGTGCAAGCTCGGTTGTGCAAAATCCGCCACCGTGCTCCTGGGCACGGAATGGGGCATGTCCTCAGGTCCTTTGCCTGCTGATCCCTTGAGCCTCAGTCCACCGTCCTGACGCGAAGGGGAGCTGTGCTGTTGTTGCGTCTGGTTCGTTTCCTCGGGTCCTCGGGTGTGAACAATGAGTCGTAACATTCGTCGTTGGGTACGTCGAAGTATTTGGAGCAGGTCCTTCGTGAACTTCCAAGAAGGGCAAACGTACAGGACTGCTGGCGTTACCGTGCCGCTGAACAGCCGTAGTCTGCTATGGAGGGGGTACCGCTTGCTTGTGAGTTCGTCTCGAAGCTGGTCAAAAAGGCGCCATCCAGACGCAAGTCGGTCAATGGCAATGACCCCCCAATGATCACTGTTGGCGGTGGGTTGAATGAACTGCACTTCGACCGCAATCTTACCCGCGCGTGCCAACTTTGAGTTAGCACCCCAAGAGGGCCCCTAGTCGGCCCAGAAAGGCTCCCCAAACGGCTTCCGACGGCGTCAGACGGGCCAGGAGCCCACCAAGATGGCCGAAGTTGGCTCGAAGCTGGCCCAAGAGGCCTCCAAGAGGGCCTCCAGGAAGGCCAGAAAAGGCGAGAAACATTGATTTGCCGTGGGTTTGCGGAGGATTTTGACAGGTGCTTCGTTTCGGCCTTCCGACGGCCCCATACGGCCCAAGAGCCCCCAAAGATCGCCCAGGGATCGCCCAAGAGGCCTCCAAGACGGCCCCAAGAGGCCCCCAAGACGGCCCAGGAGGCTTTTAAGACGCCCAAGATGGCCTCCAAGACGGCCCTGGATCATTCCACGAGGGCCCCAAGTCGGCTCAGAGAGGCCCCCCCAAACGGCTTCTGACGGCGTCGGACGGGCCAGGGGCCTACCAAGACGGCCGAAGATGGCACTAAGATGGCCCAAGACGCCCCAAGAGGCCTCCAAGAGGGCCTCCAGGAAGGCCCGAAAATGGCAAAATCATTGATTTCCCATGAGTGTTGAAGGATTGTGGCATTTTCGTTTTTCGGCCTTCCGATGGCCCGAAGACGACCCCCAAAGATCGCCCAAGAGGCCAAAGACCGTCCCAAGAGGCCCCCAAGAGGCCCCCAAGACGGCCGAAGAGGCCCCCAAGACGCTCAAGATGGCATCCAAGACGGCCCAAGAGCCCTCCAAGACGTCCTTCAGGCCCGAAAGGGTCAAAATGGCCTCGAGGCGGCAGAGATGACCTTCAAAATGCCCACGTGTTCCCCGAAGGCTTTCCAAACCGCTTCGGGGAACACATGGTCTGATAGCTTGGCAGGTCTGGCCTCAACGTTCGGCCACATAGGCGCTTCCACAAAGGCAGGGGGCGGCGGTGACTCGCCTTAGGCGTCTTCGATCCGCCGCCCCCTGTTGCTTGCAAGAGGGGTGCCTGGCGTGCCAAATTCTATCGCTTTTGGTTTTGGTTATGTTGTCCAAAGGACTCCCCCTGGGGCTTAGGCCCGTCCCGCCGAGGTCCCAAGATTGCCCGGATCCGGCTCCAAAGAATTTGTCCTGTCCAGACGGCTCCAAGACGGCCAAAGATGGCCTCCAAGACGCCAAAGATGGCTTCCAAGACGGCAGAGATGGCCCCAAGATGCCTTCAAGACGACCCAAGATGCACCCAAGACGGCCTGAGATGGCCTCCAAATGGCCCACGAGGCCCCCAAGAGGCCCCCGAGAGGCCTTCAAGACGGCCCAAGAGGCCTCCAAGAGGTCCTCCAGGAGGGCCGACGAGGGCAAAATCATTGATGGTCCTTAGGTGTTTGAAGGACTTGGGTATTGTCGTCGGTTCGGCTCTCCGACGGCCCAAGACGGTCCAGGAGGTCCCCAAGATCGCCCCAAGACCGCCCACGAGGCCTCCAAGATGGCCCCAGGACAGCCCAAGAGGCTCCCAAGAGGGCCCCAAGATCGCCCGGGAGGCCTGCAAGACGCCCAAGATGGCCTCCAAGGCGGCTAAGATGGCCCAAGATGCCTCCAAGACGGCTCAAGATGCCCCCAAGACGGCCTAAGATGGCCTCAAGATGGCCCAAGAGGCCCCCAAGAGGCCTCCAAGACGGCCCAAGAGGCCTCCAAGAGGTCCTCAAGGAGGGCCCGAATAGGCCAAAATCATTGATTGTCCTTAGGTTGTTGAAGGATTTTGCATGTGCTTCTTTTCGGAATTCCGACGGCTGAAGACGACGCAAGAGGCCCCCAAGATCGCCCAAGAGGCCTCCAAGATGGCCCCTTGACGGCCTAAGAGGCCCCCAAGACGGCCCCAAGAGGGCACCGAAACGGCCCTAGAGGCCTCCAAGACGCCCCAGATGGCCTCTAAGAACCCCTGATATGCCCCAAAAGGGCCCCAAGACGACCCAGACAGGCCCCCAAGACGGCTTCCGACAGCGTCAGACAAGCCAGGAACGCCCTAAGACAGCCAAAGAGGCCCCCAAGAAGCCCCAAAGGCCCCCCCAAACCCTCCAAGAGGCCCCCAGGAAGCTCCCAGGAGGCACTAAACGAGTGCCCCAAGAGGCGCCCAAGAGGCCTCCTCCTACTCCTCCTCCTCCCCCTCCTCCTCCTCGTTGTTCCTCACCCTCACCCTCCTCCTCTTCTTGCTCCCCCAAGCGTTCCCCGAAGTCTTTCCAAATCAACTCGGGGAACAACTGGCCCGATAGCCTGGCCAAGCTCTGGCCCAGCTGTCGGCCACAGAGGCGCTTCCAAAAAGGTAAGGGGCGGCGGTGAGTCGCCGTAGGCGTCTTTGATATCTAACACGGTCTGCCACATGACCGAAACATGCCACCAAGGTCGCCAAGACGGCCCAACCCACCTCCAGGATGACCCGAGATGGCCCAAAGAAAAACTGTACAAATAGGATTACAGGAGGACCCCCAGGAGGGTCAGACGAGGCAATACATTGATCCTCCCTGGACTGTGATACTCACGCTAATCAGAGTTAACAGCTGTGACTGAATTCTTGCTTTTGCAAGTCGTCACCCGCCAAAGACGGCTCAACACGCCTCCAAGATGGCCCCAAGACGGCCCAAGAGGCCCTCGGAATTGCCACGAGGCTTCCAAGGCCCGAGGAGGCCCCAAGACGGCCCACGAGACCACCAGCACGAACCTTCAGGGCATCCCAAAGGCCCCACGACGGCGCACTGAAGCGCCGATGATGCCCCCCCAAGGTGCCAGACTGCCAAAGACCGCGCTAAAACTCCCAAGAAAGCGCCCAATAACCACCGAGAGGCTCCCGAAACGCCGCCAAGAGGCACCATATGAGCTCACAAGACGGCCAAAGAGGGCCTCTGGAAGGCCGCAGATAGACTCAAGGGACCCGCGAGACTACCCCACACGTGCCCAAGACAGCCCAGCGATGACCCAAATAACCCCCTAGACGAGATACTCACATGTAACGGCCTACACAACGATTCGCTGGCCCAGCGGCTGCTTTGCCGTGGGTAACTGGATACCGGGGGCATATCAAGCGGGAACCCCACTTCAAAACGAACCGTCTCTTCATCCCTATAGCTGTGGGGAGATGTTGGACGAAAGCGCACGGCGCTGAGGCGGTAATCAATGCTTGAAAGCCAGCCGACCTCCATGTTACCAACTCTTAGAACCTGTGGCAAGGAATGTCTTTGGCGGTAAGACGAACGCCACACACTGAATACCCCGCCCTCCACCCGCGAGTCCGTTGAAAACGTCAACCTTCAGGATCATAATCAGTGAGGAAATTTTGGGCGGTACGCCTGGCCCACCTCATCGACGCGCCTGGCGGCGCGACGAGCAAAGACGTACATGTAAGGACGAGGGGCTGATGTAATACATGTGATCGGTTTTAATATAAGATTTTTGATACATGATTAGTTTATGAATGAATTGATGCATGAACTCATCGTTGTTTTTAATACTGAATCCTTGCATTTTTAATACATGATCCGCACGCGGAGCATGTATTGAAAACGACACTGTATGGAGGACTCTGGGGAAGCAGGGCGAGGAAGAGGCAGGAAGAGAAGGGGGGCAAGACGGGAGTGGGGGGGACCCCCCCCCCCAGGCGCGCGCTCCCGCGCGAGCGGGGAGCGAGGAGCGGGCAGCGGGAAGCGGGCAACGGGCAACGGGCAGCGGGGAGCGGAGAGCGGGGACGACGACGGCGACAACGACGACGACGACGACGACGACGACAGCGACGGCGACGGCGACGGCGACTGCGACGGCGATGGCGACGGCAACGGCGACGGCGACGATGGCGACGGCGACGACGACGGCGACGACGACGGCGACGGCAACGGCGACGACGACGAAAACTGTGGCGGTGGAGGCGGCAGTGGCGGCAACGGCGACGGCGACGGCGACGACGACGGCGAAGGCGACGACGGCGGCGGCGGCAGCGACGACGAGAAGCCGCGCAGATTGGAGGGGTGCGGGGCCGTGCGGGGGCCAAGGCCGCTAGAAGCGTCGCCGAGGTGGTCGAACTGGCGGCCGCGCGGGAGCGCTGCCCTCCTTCTCGACATTCAACTGTTCCTCCCTGCGTTCATCTTGCTCCTCCTCCGCCTCCATATGCGTCTCCATCTCCTCTTCGGCACGCTCCTCCTCATCCTTCTTGTCCCTGCGCTCCTGCTCCTCCTGCGCATCGTCGTCGTGCTCCCCCTCCTCCTCCTCCTCCTCCTCCTCCTCCTCCTTCTTCTCCTCCTCCTGCTCCTCCGCCCCCTCCGCCACCTCCTCCTCCTCCTACTCCTCCTCCTCCTCCTCCGCCCCTCCGCCTCCTCCTCCTCCTCCTCCTCCTCCTCCTCCTCCTTCCCCTCCTCCTCCTCCTCCTCCTCCTCCTCCTCCACATCGCCCTCCTCGGCCATTATGCGCCCGACACATCTCATACCCATCGTTACGTTGTCGTCGCCGCCACCTTTCTCCGCCGCCGCCGTCGCAGCCGTCGCCATCGCCGCCGCCGCCGCCTTCTTCGCCGCCGCCGCCTTCGCCATCGCCGCCTTCGAAATCGCCTCCACCGTCGCCGCAGGCGCCACCGCCGTCGCCGTGGCCAGCGCTGCCGCGGCCGAGGGAGGGTGGATGACCCGAGGGAAGGATGGAGGGCAGCGGGGAATCAGGAGAGGTAAAAGGAGCGGGAGGACGAGGGGCGGGAGGAGCGGGAGGACGAGGACGAGGACGAGGCATGCTGATTTACGGCCCACCCACCCCTGACGCGAGGAGCGCGCCGACGCGGACCACGAAGACTACGGCGAGGCAGCCTTGGCGCCAACGCCGACGCCGACGGCAACGGCAGCGCCAGAGCCGACGCCCGCGCCGATTACGGCCCGCGCCGACGACGACGACGACGACGCCGCCGCCGCCGGCAACGAAGGCGGCGACGGCGGCGGAGGCAGTCGCCGCGGCAGCGGCAGCGGCTCCGCCGCGGGGGGCGGCGGCGAGGCCTCGACGTCCTTCCCGGCGTCGAAGGCCTCGCGCGCGCGGGGTCGCGCCCGGCACCCCGACGGCCCTCCAGCGGCCCTGCAGCGGCCATCGGCGGCGACCGCTGGCGGCCATCGCCGGCCTCGGCGGCCCTCGGGCGACCCTCGCCGGGTGGGGGGGGAGCGGCCGCACGGGGGTCGTCGTCGCCATCGTCGTCGTCGTCGTCGTCGCCGTCGTCGCCGTCGCCGTCGTCGTCTTCGCCGTCGTCGTCGTCGTCGCCGTCGTCGTCGTCGTCGTCGTCGTCGTCGTCGTCGTCGTCGTCGTCGTCGTCGTCGGTTGTCGTCCTCGTCCTCCTCCTCCTCCTCCTCCTCCTCCTCCTCTTTCTCCGCCTACGCCTCCTCTCCTGCTCCTGCTGCTGCTGCTCCTCCTCCTCCTTCCCACTACTGGCCCGCGGTGGGGAGACCACGCCGCGTGGCGAGTCAGTGGATACTCGGGGACCCCGTGCGGTTTTGGGGTTCGGGTCGTCCTCCGAGGACGTCACTGGCGACCATCGGGGGACCCTCTGCTAGGGTGCAGCTCCTCGGAGGTTAAATTCGGCATCGGCGCTGGTATACCCGATCCGGCACGATCCCGCCTGATCGGGCTCAACCCCGCAGATCCAGCTTACAATCCTTGGATATTGCAGCCAAATCTAGCTCATTGGCCTTGTCAATCGGGCTTGATAGCCCCGAGCGCCTTCCACTGCTCGCAAAGTGCCCACTCGAAAATGTCCGAACAACACATATCTGCATCGATGTGAAGTGCCCAAAATCCCCACATGGCGGATCCAGACCATTTACGAGTGGATTGTTTGTGCGAATGGTAGATTGGTGGAATGTGTGTTCACTCCGACGAAGACTTCTGGGGAGTTGCCGCCTGACCTTCGCGAGTAGTGGAACGCGCTTGTCTATCCGATAGCCCGTGATCGTTCTGACGAAGATGGGGAGCTGCCCCCCTGACCTCTGTTAGGCGGCGAGCCAGAGGGGAAGTGAGAAGAGGCGCACCTTCTCAGAAGGCCCGGAAGTCCCCCGGACTTCTGCTGAGAAGTCTCCCAAGCCCTCCCCGAAGACAGACAAAAACTTTTCCCAGAAGGCGCGAGGGCTCCCGAGAAGCCCCGCCGCCCTCTGAGAAGGCCTGCTCCTTCTCAGTTCCCCCCCTCGCTCGCCGCCGCTCGACGCGGGCTGGTTCGCGGACCCCCCCCCCTGTGCTGTTCTCTCCTCCATGCGGCCTCCTCCTCCTCCTCCTCCTCCTCGTCGTCCTCCTCCTCCTTCTCCATTTCCCCCCCTCGCTCGCCGCCGCTCCGTCGACCGCCCGTGGCCCCCTTTTCCAGGCAACGGGGGGCGCGGCCGTCGAGGGGCAGGGAGGGGGCCCCCAGGGCGGGGGCGCCCGCCTCCTGCCTCCTCTCCCCGCCGCCCTGCCTCCCTGCCTCCTCCTCGTGCTCCTCCTCGCCTTCCCCCCCCCCTCCTCGCCATCGCTCGGACGTCCATTCCCTGTGTTTTTTTCGGTTTCGTGCGTGGCTTTTTCGCCAAATGATCAAGGATGCTCCTCGATGGCCCTCGCCGAAGGAAAAATGCACACGTCCGAGCGATGCCAAGCGTGCTCCTCCTCGCCTTCCCCCCCCCCCCCTTCCAGTGAGAGAGGGGGGGCGGCATAGAGGGGGAGAAGGGACAAACGGGAGGGCGGAGGGAGGGTCTGGCGAGGGAGGACTGGGAAGGGGGGAGGTGGAGAAGGGGTGGAGAGAGGAAAGGGAAGGGGGAGGCAGGGTAGAGGCAGGACGAGGAAGGGGGAGGGGAGGGGGAGGGGCAGGGGGAGGAAGGAGAAAAGGGGAGGGGGAGGAAGGGTAGAGAGAGGACGAGGAAGGGGATGGGGGAGGGGACAGGAGGACGGCAGAAGAGGATAGGTTGAAGAGGTTGGAACCCTTGCAGATACGATCCACGATTCTGGAATCGCAGAGGGCGCAGCTACATAATAGCTTGGCTTCAGAGTGTACGCATAGTGTGTAGGTTAAATCAGACGCAGAACATGTGCTTCTGGCTGGTATGAGGCATGACCCCCAGCCAGCAAGCTGCAAGGTCTTTCTGCCCGTCATGTTATGCTATGCATGTTAATGTTGATTGCTGTCAAGGGTATTCCCTCCCTCCTCAACCCGTGGTATATCCACAGTCCTGCTACAGCATGCCTGTCAGCAACCAGGACGAGGAAATGAGCATGGAAGAAAACGGGGGTTTGGCAGGGAACCCGCTTTCATACCACAGTGGTCTTGGAAAGCAAGATCGGGGCGCTAGAAGAACGCTCAACTTTGCGCAAGCATGCCCCGTACCGCTTCCACAAACCGAGGTTGCGGTGGCGATTTGGCTTTGCCAAGATATCCAACTTGCCTTCGTCGTAGCGGCGGCCATCGTTTCGACGATCTCTCCTTGTCTTCCTCCCCGCTTTCTTGCCCTTTTCCCTGCCATCACGCGGAAAGCTGCCTGCGATGGGGTGGGAGCTTAGTGGGCCCTGGAAACGACAAGGCCGTTTTTTTTACCAGTTCCGGCCGGTTCCGACGCCGATTTGTTACCGGTTCCGTCGCCGATTTTTGAACGGTTCCGGCTCCAGTTCCAATCCTGGAGCCGTTTTTGTTACCGTTTCCGGTCGCCGTTTTTTTGCCGTTTCCATTTTCAAGGGACATTTTTGCTGGAAACGGTGACAAAACGGCCCTGCCGTTTCCAGGGCCCACAAAGGGTGGGAGTTGGGACTGGATCGACGGGGGGATGGGAGGGATAACTGCACCATCCGCAGGGTGGGGCCATGGCGTGCTGGCCTGGCCCGCCCCACCCCTCTGCCCGGCCCCTCAGCAGAGTCTCTTTGCTGGAGGAGGCGGGGGAGTACGACGCGTGGCGGTGTGGCATGTGCTGCGTGGTGCTGCGTGCATCGGCGGAGGAGGAGGATGAGGAGGACCCTTCCCTCCCCTCTGAGCTCCACTGCAGCAAACCTCACCCACAAGAAGGAGCAACCGAGCCCTGTGCCAAAAAAGCGTGCCCGGAGATCATGACACGACACGACTGGAATTCATCAGAACGTGGCGGGGGTTGTCGCCTCAATCGCTAGGACGGGCATCCCCTCCCTTCCCTTCCCCAGTGCGTGGCAAGGGTCACAAGGCACTGGCAGGCGCTGGGTCAGGCACATCTCGATCTCTGTCGCGCTCTCTGCCTGTTCCTCTTCCCTCCCCGTGATGATTGAGCGCGTGCGGCTTATCAGTTCCCATTATGCACTTCGAAGTGTCGGACTGCTCGGATTGTCGGGATTCGGGGTAGGTGCGTGTGCGTCACCGACGAGGACGAGGAGCGGTGGGTAACAATGAGCTGTCAGAGAAGGCCTTAAGAGGGCCACCAGGCGCCGTTCAACTGGGAGGATCGCTGTCCTCTGCCGGAATGCGGTCTCCAGTCGCTCCAGTCACCATGACTGGCGACGCCGCGACGCACTTCGGACTCAAACGCACCAGCGCGACCACGTGATCCACCAGCTCGCGGACTGCGCCATTCGACGAAAATGATGCGCGTGAGTTCCACGAACGCAGTAACCCTAGCGCGGCCACCTAATTACAGACTTTGCGAACGCGGCCTAGGCAGCAATCGGTGAGGAGCACGAGACCGACGAAGACGAGGAGAACGAGGACGAGGAGCACGACGAGGACGAGGAGGACCACAGGGACAGGGAGGACGATGAAGACAAGGAGGGCCAAGAGGACTACGACGAAAGCAAGGGCGACGAGGAGGGCGACGATGACGAAAAGGGCAAGGAAGACGAGGAGAACACGGAAAACCGACAGCAAGCAGGCCCAGGGCGCGGGATCTGCTGCGGGTTGCGAGGCGCGCGCGCACCGGCATCACCCGCGCCGTGGCGCCGACGAACTCGTCCTGCAGGCGGAGCGCCTGGGGGCCCCATGGCATCGCAGCTGTCATGGAAAGCGTCGTCGTCGTCGTCGTCGTCATCGTCAAAGCCGTCGTCGTAGCGTCGTCGTCGTCGTCAACGCCGTCGTCGTCGTCGTGGTCGCTGCTGAGGCGGGGAAGCGGAAGGGGAGGAGAAGGGGGGCGAAGGGGTGTGGGGCAAGACGGGGGACAGGAGGCGAGGAGAAGGAAGAGGGGGGAGGAGGGGGAGAGAACGAGCAAGAGGAGGAGAAAGAGGAAGGGAAGGAGAAAAAGCTTTCGCCCACCCAGTCCGTGCGCCAATCCTCGCTTCGCTCAACTCTGATAAATGAAACTCTTCGAGGGGGGTAAATCACATGTGGATGCAGGCCGGATGAGGATCAGGAGGAAGGACAGAGGGGAGGTGGAGGTGGAGAACGAGGACGAGGTGAAGAGGAGTACGAGGAGGACGGGGAAGAGACGAGGAAGGATGGGAGGAGGAGGAAGAAAAGAAGGAAGAGGAGGTGGAGGATGGCCCGTGTAAACCCAAGAAGCATCCACGAAGTTAGAATAAACCCTCCCTCCAAGCTTCCTATTCATAGGCCCCTGCAACGGTTCATTTCTGTTGAAGGAGCTGCCCTTTTGGATGACAAGCGCCTGACGACCCTAAAGCATGCCAAAACATTGGTTTCGGGATTCGCACGCCACGGATCAACCTGAGTGTTGCGTCTTGACAACCCAGATTCGTGCCACTGCCAGAACGGCATTCTTGGGACTTCAACACAACGAATCAACGTAGTTGTTGCGACAGCATAATCGCGAATCCTCTCAAAACATCTTTCTTGGCACGTTGATGGTGGGAACCCGTGGAACTCTTCCAACTTGTTTAACAAATGTGCGCCGCGCCCAGGCGATAACCACATATTGAAAAAGGAACCTTCCTACATCTGAAGCTCTTGCTTTATATATGATGCGAATATGGCCTTACCCAAAAAAACTACGCCGCGCGTTTGAAAACGGGCCGCCCTCAACCCATGAAGCTCTTGCATAATTCTTGTTCATCGAGTGCGCGCCAAGCCCAAGCGAGAGCCACATGTTGAAAACGGCCCGCCCTCAATCCGCGAAACTGTTGCAAATGTTTCGAACAAATGTGCGCCGCGCTGAGGCGAGAACCACATTTTGAAAACGACCCGCCGTCAGTCCGTGAAAGTCTTGTATGTCTCAGATCCAACAAATATGCGCCGCGCGAAAACAAGATCCACATGTTGGAACCGACACCCCCTCCATTTGCGAAATGGTTGCCAATATTTAATATTCAGAATCATCGATGGTGAGATGTCTCAGGCGAAGCGCCCAGCCCGCCCTGAAAAAAATGCTTCGGGGTGCGACAGGAAGAAACTATAGATAAGGAGAAGGAATGGAGGAGGAGGAGGAGGGGGAGGAGAAGGAGGAGGAGGAGCAGGAGCAGGAGGAGCAGGAGGAGCAGGAGAAGGAAGACAAGAACGGGGAGGAGGAGGAACAGAAGGATATCGTGGCGGAGAGGGTGCACAGGTGCAGATGCACGGGACGGGGAAATGGAAGGTGGGGAGAAGAGGTCAGGTGCTCGTCCTGCCTCCTCCTGCTCCTCCTCCTCCCCTCTCCTCCTCCGAAATAGAGGAATTACCAGCTGGCTCGGGAGAGCCGTCCGGCGACGAGCGCGCGGGGGGCGCGCGCGGCATGCAACACAACATGGCTAAGCCGCGGCCAGTGTATCGATTCGCGTTCCGCGGAGCCGAGGTGGACACCTCTCGCGCGTCAAGCAGCAACTCTCGAAGACTTTCGGCCGCCCAATTATGCCCAACAGCGCGCCCAACCGCTCGCAAAGCGGACATAATGCATCTCCCCGGCATGGCGCTTTGGGCACCGTTCGAATGCCATTCGGCGCCGCTTGGTGCTACTGGGCGCTATTTCGCGCAATCGAGCGCAATGCGCCGAGGCGCACTCAATCCAAAACAAGCAGAACCTTCAGCTACGCGCTATCTAATCGCACGCGCTGTCCAGTTGGAGCGGCGGCTGCCAGTCCGCGAGGCGGGCGCCGCGCTCACCGGGGCGCCCTGGGAGAACTCGCCGAAGGCGCGGCAGCTGGCGCTGCAGTCGACCCTCTCGGAGCCGGCGCCAAAAAAACGGTCGCAAGGCAGGCTCTCCGCAGGCCACTCCGCAGCCGCGGACCCAGGCCACGGCGGCAGCGCGCTGGGCTGCAGCGCGCAAGCTGCGCGCCAAGCCGAATCGCATGCCGCCGCGTAAGATGCTGGGCGATCGCCGATCAACTCGGCGCGTCGCGCTGCGAATGCGGGCGCGGCGCTCGGCCGGGCACGGCGCGCCGCGCCGCGGGCGCGCGGGCGCAGGCCCGCTGCCCCGCGCGCGGCTGACGTCGGCGCGCGCGCCCCGCCCGGCTCAGGTGCATCGCCTGTATTTTACGCATCCTGTCGGGCGAGAGCCGCGCCCCGTTCCAAGGCCTCACCCCGCACATGCCCCGTGGAAGCAGCGCTCAGCCGCCCGCCCGCGCGGGGCACCTCGGACAGGACAGCCCCGCCCGCGCCCGGGTCGAGGCGCCTCCACCCGCGGGGGGGCCGCTTTGGCTGCGACGGCCATTGCCGCCCCAATCATCTTGGAAGCGAGCTCCTGCAGGCGCTGCCGCGCGCGGAGCTCGGCCTGCCCGCGGCGCAGCTGCTCGCGCACTGGCCCCCAGTTCGCCATCGGCTGCGAGGCCCCCGACTCGGCGCTGCGCGGCGCGACGTTATATCTCGTCGCTCGCCTCCGTTTTTCCCCATCGCGTCGCGCACTTCGGCGGCGGCGCGAACGCGGGTCGCGCGATCCGCTAGCAGCCGGGAACAATGTCGGGGATGGACAGACCTCCCGTTAGTAAAACGTGGTTTAGCGAAAACGACCTGAGGCCCAAACCTGGCGTGCGCAAGCCTGGAAAATAACGGCCACGGCGCCCTCTCGAAAACCGAAAACGGACAATTCACTGTCACTGTTGGGGGTTCTGTCCACCCCCGACGCTAGCAGTCGGGGGCAATGGCTCGCGCTTTCCGGCGAGCGTCGCTGACCTCGCTCTGCGCGCGCCGCTCTGCCTCGGCACTCTCCGCCGACGCCCTCTCCGCGGCGGCACCGGCGCGCCGCCGATCTGCCCCGGGGCATTTTTCTGCGCCGCCGCCGTGGCCTCTGCCTCCAAGGGAAAGCGCCGCGCGCTGCAGCCGCCTTTGCTTTTTCGGAAGCCCTCGTCATCCTGAGCTGCTGGGCCCTCCTCCTCCTCTTCCTCCTCCTCCTCCTCCTCCTCCTCCTCCTCCTCCTCGTCCTCCTCCCCGCGCCGCTCCCGGCCCCCTCTTGCAGCGCCGCGCTCGAAGGCCCGCGCGCTCCTCGGCCACTTCGAGACCTCGGCCCCGTCCGCTAGTTCTCGGAGCTCCACGGGCGCCCGCGGCGACTGTTCCGAGCCAATGGCTCGCCGTCTTTCCTCGGCCTGTTCCACGACGCGGATCGCGGCGACGCGGCCACTCTGGGGCCGGGCGCGACCGGCAGCGCGCCGCCCAAGATCAAGCGCCGAGATCTGATCCCTCATCTGCGACATCTCCTGGTCTCTCTTTCTTTTTTTTTCTCTCTCTCTCTCTCTCTCTCTATATATCCTTTCTCTTTGTATTTCCCTTTCCCTTTTCCTTTTTTTTCTCTTTCTCTCTTTTTCTTTCTCTCTCTCTCTCTCTCTCTCTCTTTCTGTCTCCCCTCTCTCTCTCTCTCTTTCTTTCTGAATTTCTCTCTCTCTCTCTCACCCTCTCTCCTCCCTCTCTCTCTCTCTCTTTCTGTCTCTGTCTCTCTCTCTATCTTATCTCTCTCTCTCTTTCTCTCCCTCCCTCCCTCTCTCTCTTTTTCTCTCTCTCTCTCTCTCTCTCCCTCTCCTTTTTTTTCTCCTCTCCCTCTCTCGAACGACAATAATCCCCCGTCGCCCTTATTCGGCCTGCCCCCTGCCCAAGCTGCGCAGCGCCACGCAGTTGCGCGCGAGGGGCGGTAGACGGTTCGAGCATGGGACAATGAAGTTGCAGGGGGGGCGGCTGACCTGAGTGCGCTCGACAGACCGCCTTCTTGCACTCCCCTCGAACTCCCGGGCAACGGCGCCCGGGGAACTCTGCGCTGCCAGGGCCTCTGCTGGCGCCGGAGTCATCGGCGCGCGAGCTCGACGCAGTGGACCGCGCAGCTCGGGCAGAAGACGATGGCGCGCCCCACGGGGCCCTCGACGCCCCGCGTTGATCGGGCCCCGTGCCCATGGCCCTCGGAAAGCGAGCACGCGGAGTGGGGGCCGTCTCCGCGTCGGCTCTCGGGCGCCCGGCGCGCGCGGCCCCCTGCGGGGCAGCCGGCGGGGGGGGCGACTCGGGGGCGCGGCCCCCGGGGCGGCCTCCCGGATCGAGCGCCCCCCTGATGGTCCGCTACCGAAAATTTCCGGTAGCGCTCCGCAGAGATCGGTCGCTACCGAAATACCGAAATTTTTAGCGCCCACTACCGGTATCCAGAGCGTTCTGAAATCCGCCATTTCAACGCCCTCAAACGAAGATCCGGTCGCTACCGAAATTCGGGGTGCGTCGAAATCGCTACCGAAAATTTCCGGTACCAGACTATCTGGGCCGGCTCTCCTCTGACACGCCCTCCGTCTTAGTCCGCTCTTTACGAGCGAGGACCTCGCCGCCAAACACACGGCTCCCTGCGCTTGCTTCGCCCCGGGCATCCTCTTTGGGCGCCCGAAATGGGTGCGGAAAGAGTGGGTACAATGCCCAACAACAAATGCTGTCCCAAACCATCAGCGGCCGCTGTTGGGCAGGCGGCCCTCTGTCTCGAATGGACAGGCCGCGGCGGCGTGGACAGCGAATCCTGTTCAAAATGAACAGGAAATGCTGTTGGGCATTGTACCCATTCTTTCCGTGCCCATTTCGGGCGCCCAGATCCTCGGCGCAGGTGTCTCCCCGGCATTCGGCTGCACGATCGCGGTCGCGCCTGCCATCACCT